AAACACCTTTAAATCTGCCTTTTTTTAGCCTTGTTATAAGAAATCTGAATAACAAAAATACTTACTTTTCCATAAATAACTATGACTAAATTAGCAGAATTTAAGACTTGATTGACAGAAAATAAAGAAAATCAAGCAGGATTAAAAAGATGAGAAGAAGTTTTAGCCAAAGTTGATGAGAGGAAGTTTGAAGAATATCCATTGGCAAGTGTGCAAGTGTCTGTGGACGCTTTAGGCATTTCTTCCGACGAACTACCATATTATATATTGGTTGCTTCTAGGTGAATAGCAGATAGCCTCCGCAAATTCCGCAAAAAATTAGAAGAAGAAGCCGCTGAAAGTTCTGATGAGGAGGACAAAAGCACTGACTCAGAAAACTCCCTTAGTGAAAGTGAAGAAATAAACGGCACGGCAGAATTTTACCACTGATTAGAGCAAAACCCTTCTGATTTACCTCATTGAGAGAAGTTTATTAATTATTTTATTACTTCCGAAGGAATTAATTTAGCAAATGTTTTCTCCCTCGTGCAAAATTGAAAAAAAGAGGAGGGGGAATTAGGAAAATATTGAGCCATTTGCCGCCAGTGATTAGAAGAAAGTGGTGAAAGTGAAGAATTTTTAGAAAAATGTGAAGCACATTTTCTTATTTTGCCCCAACAAAAGCAACAACTAGCCGATTATCAAGCCCACATTAAGGAATTAGAAGCAGTTAAAGGCATTTTACAAACTAGATTAGAATATCAAGAACAACAAATTAAAGAATTAAGTAATTCGGTAGGGCCAAGCCCTCCTTATTTTATTGGGATAGTTTTGTTGGTGGTGGTTATTTGGTTGCTAAAAGAGTAAAAAACATTATATAGCACTATGCGAACACTTAACCGAACAAATAAAAAAAACTTAACCTCTCGACAAAAAGAAATCCAACTATTACAAAAAACTTGGGAAGAAACTAAAGAAAGATTAAAAAAATCCAAGAAAAAAGAAGATAAATTAGTTTACAATTTTTTAGTCAATAACCAAGTTGACCCAAAAACGGGCTTAATTGATAGCAAAAGTTCCTGAAAAACCCATTATGTTTCTTGTCAAGCCCAAGACTTTAAAAATTAGATGGAAAAGTTAATTCAAATATTAATCAATAAGGCTTATCGTTATCACCGCGATAATTACTATTCTCAAATTAAGCAACAACTCTTTTCTAATCCAAAATTATTTCGTTTGTTTGATGAGGGTATTAAGGAAAGTTTGGTCATCTTTGCCGGTTTTGAAGTAAGTTATAACTCTTATGGTAGTAAACTTTCTCAACGCAATGAAATTTGGAAAGGAACTTACCTGGTTCAGCATAATATTTATCTCAATCAACATTTTTTTCTTAATTTACTTGGTTATTGTAATGAAAATGAACTAGTCAGAACCTTTACTTTTGCTAAACTAATTGAAACTATTGCCCATGAGATCGCTCATGCGTTATTGGTTGACTTTTACCCAGATGAAAAAGAACATGAAGCCAAGCACCGAGAAATCACTGAAGAATTACAGGAATATTTGTTAAGTATGCCCTTGGTGGAAATGTGAAGAGAAAAAGTTGAAAATTAATCACTGCTTTTAGCCTTGTATAAGATTTCCAATTCTCGCCTTGTAAAGAAAAGCCAAAACTATGTCAATTATCTGAATTTTAATAATAATTACAATTGCTTACTGATTTTATCAGAAAAAATTAG